TGATTTTTTCTATATATTTTTAGTTGTCCGATTAATTTCTTTCTATTTTTAGTAGAGACGGGGTCTCGCTCTTGCTCAGGCTGGTCATGAACTCCTGAGCTCAAACCATCCACCCGCCTCGGCCTCCCAGAGTGCTAGGATTACAGGCGTGAGCCACCGTGCCTGGCCTGCCTTATTGTATTTTAAAAATAAACCCCCCAACTGAAAAAAAAGAAGGAGAACTAAAAGACATTTAGACTTCATGCCTTGCTCATTCTGATTATTGTACAAAAAAAAATTACGGGACTAAAAAGGGCAGGACAAATGTGATCAGTTCCCCATTTCAACTGAGAGAACTACGGCCTTGCTCGTTGCACAGAGTTTTTTTTTTTCCTAAAAATTTTCAACAAGGGGATTTCTTATCAATGTGTAACTTATTGATACAATCTTATTGATACAATCATGTCATGATGATGAAGAGCCTGTATAAATTCATTAAACCTTAGCCCCAGGAAAAGTAATCATGTCTAGATCTAAAACACATACATGAGATAAACTGGGATGCAAGCCTACAGTGCAAAATAGAGGAGCTCCCATAGGGATATGGCTTGTTGAAATTGTAAACAAAGGTTCTCTGAGATTTGGAGAGAGTCTGAGGGGGATATGGTCAAATTGTTAAAGTTACTGCATGAACTACTCCGTGTCTTCTTAAAATCAAAACAAATGGCATGGCTCAAAAACAAAAGACAATAGAAAACCCAAACAAAAAAACTACAATCACCATACCCTTACACAAAAAATCTTTGCAGGTCTTCTTTCTAAAAATTAAACCAGACAGGGTCAGACATACCAAGAATTCAAATAATATGTTACATCTGTACAGTGGTACATTATACAAAGCACTTAATTTTGTTTAATCCTCACTATGACCCTGTAATTTCAGATGAGGAAATAGAGGTTTAGAAAGCTTAAATGGTTTACCCATGGAGGCAGAATGAAATAATGGCTTTAGAGTTAAGACAGACCTCGTTTTGAATCCTAGCTCTGCTCTTCTGCCACTTACAAGCCATGTGACTTTCGGCAATTTCTGTAAACCTTGGTTTCCTTATTTGTAAAATGATGATAATAGTATATATCTCATAGGATTGTAGTAGGATTCAATAAAATAATAAATACATAAAGTGCTGGACATAATCCCCAACACAGCAAGTACTCATTGTTAAATTAGGTTAAATACCAACTTAACAATTACCCATTGATCTTGAGCAAGCTATTTAACCTCTTGACCCCTCAGCTTTTTCACCCATAAAATGGTAATAACAATATCTACTTAATGGAGCCATAGTGATGATGAAATACATGTAATTTTATATATAGTAAATGACAAAGAATGATATATCTACAAATGCATATGCTTATATTTAAGGGATACAGGGTTAATAAATGGCAGAAACAGAATTAAAACCTACATCTTCTATGTTGAGTCCTCTTACTGTCAACACAGCTGGATACTTCTGATTCTATTATCCAAATATAAAGGAGCATTTTCTCAAAACTCCATTGAGAAGATAGTAATCTGAAAATACTTGTGAAAATGAATTTAAAAAGGAAACTATCCAAGTTACCTGAATTAAGGCCTCACTCAGTATGTCTTCATTAACTTCCAGAATAATGTTTTTTATATCTTCGTATGGCATGCGATATGATCCCAGAAAGATAGCTAAAATAAAATTTGATTTTATTAAAAGTAGAACAACAAGAAAATTTTAAAGTCCTAATAAATACCTGATTCCTATTTCATAGATTCAAAATATGAAATTTCTGTCACTAATACTAATTTATAAAATTATAAACAAACAGAAGTTGTTCCATTTGATGGACTACTCTATCCATCTGGGCAAAATGGCCTATTATTTCAGGCTCTTATGTTTATAGCTTGTGCATATTCATATATTAATACAAAGAAAACACCTACTAATAGTATTCTTGACTATATGTTTATGCATTTTATACAGGGCTGATAAAAAATGACCCATGAATACTTAGAGATTTTATTTCAAGTTGGCCTTTTAATTCAAGTAGAATTGAGTGTGTCAGATGCATCCAACACAGTATTTCTAAGGAATGACAATAAAGTAAAAAAATCTTAAAAATCATAGTCTACTTTGAAATTCTCCCACATAAGAAAAAAATTAAAGTGCCTAAATCATCAATGTGTTCTACATTCCTGCTGACATTCCTGTGGTACACTATTAGTTGTTTTACATATTGAATCACAATTTCTCCTGTCAACTTTTTCTTAATTGCATGCATATTATTCCATATTAGAATAATTCAATAAATTATACCTAGAATAGCTCACAATTACTCAGAAGGTATTTTTCAATAACATGTTCCACTTTAATCTCCATTAAACGTCCTTTTTAAAGTATATAGATGTGCTCTTATCATCAGAACCTGAATATACTTCTAAGAATTTATTTCAGGAAAAGGTCTATACGCCTTCACTGGTGTCAAAAGAAAAAATAATCCTCACTGTCTAGGCAAATAATTACTTATACATAAAGATCAAATGAGAGCTCCACAATCTAAATAAATAATGTTGACAGATATCAACCAGGAATTAAAACCATACTGTGTTTTGAAAAAACGTACTGAATATCAACTTTATAAAGAAAATGTACTATCAGGTAAGCAATCTACACATTCACAACAGCTATTAGAAGACTGCTTTTCTGACAGCAACATTCCTACTGACACAAGAATGATGAGTTGTTTATTTTAATCTGATTCTCTATACCACATTCCTTAACAAAATAACTCCCATGGTATCTTTTTGTGCAATTAGAAATACTTGATGTGTTGAAATTTCTCATGCATAGTGTTTTAGTATCCTCAGAATCTAAACAGTCTACTGTAGTGACAAAAAAAATTCTGAATTCAACAGAGAATGTGTCAAAGTAAAACTTAAAGGCCTACTTTTTTTTTTTTGAGACAGAGTCTCACTCAAATCATGCTTACGCAAAATTTTGTTTCTAATAAATGCTAAATATACCTGTTCAAAAAAGTTACAATTTGTTTGAATACATTGAGTATCCCACCACTACCACCACCACCACCACCACCATCCTCCATGTAGAAAATACTACATACACAGATTTTGGGCTGTTTTGGGATCCAAAACTCTCAATTCTTTCACTTTTTTCTTTGCAGGCACTGTCTTCTTTTCTTCTGAAGCTTGTGCATTCTTTTGAACTGAAAGAAAAATGTTGATTCATAAACAATAATGGTACTAATCCGAGTACATGGAATAACATTAGTAAGGCATATTAACTACATTAATAAAGCTCATTCCGAAATCAATAAATGTGTTTATTTCATTAGTTTAAGGAAGAGGATAAACATAAAAATGCAGACCTGTTTAGAGGTTTCCCTACAAATTAAATATCAGCACTTAAGCAGAAAAGATAAGCCAAATAGAACCAAAAATCAATTGCTCCTTCTTACCTAATGTGCAACATTAATTACTCCTTTACCAGGTACCTACAGTAGCACTGGAACTAAATAGTAAAATCTCACTAATGTGGACTAATTGGGGGAAAAGGAAGACGCATTTCTCTTAAAATATGCTAAATTTGTGCATTCCTTTAATTCGGTGAAATTGCTTGAAAGCATCTAGGGTAACTTTAACTGCTAAACACACTGCCATATAAAAATTCCTCATGAAACTGTTTTCAAGACTACGTACGAATGAACCATTTGCAAGTTGTACAACAGTAGCACCCATTTGCATACACATAAGTAAAGAACTCAAAGATGTGGTCTTTTGAGTAAGTTAGCTGTGTCCCCTTCACCATTTTTAAAATACTATTTGCTTTCTTAGAACAGAATATTTACTTTTACTTTCTTCAGAAAGTAACCCTATAATTTGAAACAGTTAGAAGGACTGAAACCATAAAGAATGGCAGTGCTAAGGAGTGGCTTCAGCCCCATATAACCTCCATCGGCCCACCTCCCAAATAAGCCAGTCCCCCACCCCCACCAAAAAATGTGGCAGTTGGCTATGAAAATGAAGCATGAAGTCAAATCCCTAAACCCTTCCTGGATAGAAATTCTACAGCTACTATTATACTCAACTGTTAGCAGTTTACCTCTTCCAATATAAAAATGGAGTTGTAGGTAATGGCACTATCAAAAATTATGAGAAAAGTAAAGCCAACATTTTTTTTGAAACAAGTAGAGTGTTAGGCTCTTGCCCCCAAATTCGTGCTGCTAAATTCACCACAGATTCATATGGCTATAATCATGCTTTTTCTTTATCACTGTTAAAAAGATAGCTTCGTTTTGAGGCAATAATGATATGTAATATTTTAATTTATCTAATCTTCGTTAAGGAGATCACAAATGAGTTATTACTTTCTTTTTTGGAGGAAAAGCAACATGCAACCACAATACATTTTTGCTAAGGAAATGTATTCATGGATGTTAGCATCTTGGAAATCTGCAATGTGCTATAGAATTCATGAAAATATTACAAGTCCATTAAGATTCCCTTTGTTTTAATGGTATAAAATATAGAAAAAATAAATGAGCTTACTACAGAAATAACAGATAAAATAGATTACCTGAATAACTAAAGCCCTAACAGTCCTAAGTTTTGCCAGCCTGACCAGTCTAAAGTGATGTATGGTCTAAGAAGACTAATAATAATTACTAGTGAAAATTATGATCTTACGAGAGATGGTGAGCAGTTTGCCATGTTGACTCAACACAATAGTCATTGTTGCTGCTGGAAGAAATATGACTTTTAATATATTTCTTTTAAAATCATCACAAACATTCCTCATAGGAATACCTTCTCTTTCTAAGAGCACAGTGTCTTTCCTATGCAATAATCACCACTTTAATTTCCAAGCCATTCCCAGCTTAAGACAACTATATACAAAGAAATGACAGTCTAACAGTCATTCCCTGTCTATGCCTTAAAGTCCACTATGGGAGGCTAATTAAACAAGTACCTATTGGATGAAAATGCTGTAGAATGAAGAATATATAAAGATTATTCTGAAAACTAACAGGATCCTGACTAATCTATACATAATGCTCAATTTGTATGACTTCATTTTCTGCATTTTTTCATTAAAATATAGCCTAACCTTCCCCCCCTTTTCAAATAAACAAATTGTTTAAAATTAAGATTAGATGTCTCTAATCTTAATATCTATAGTTCACAGTTTTAGTTTTTGAATTCTCATATATTTTCTTTGTGTTATACAATTTGACATAAATCCTGGATTCAAAAAGTGATAAGAATTCCATGAGTGGGCACTGCTGCTTTTGGAATCACTGGAGTAAAACAAATATAAAATAGTTCCTTAAATAGACAGACTTTCAAACGTAATCATATTTTTGCCATGATAAGCAGCTACTGACCAGTAGTCATTATTGCCTTTGTTCTTCTTGTTTTTAAAAGCATTCCTTTGGGATCACAACCACAGGCTTAGATAAATAGAGAATTCAAGAGAATAGCAGTGAGACTTCAAACATCCCTAAAGTCTTAAAGACTTCATATGTTAAAAACTACCTGCTTTCATAGTGACCTCAAAATGTCTCTACTCCTAGGATACTTTTTATGCTGCATGTTTCTAATGCTTACAAAACTTAAAATAACTAAATTATAGCAATTCTATAATTATTTGAAATTACTTGGATGGGACTGATAAGTTTATATAAGTTTCAATATAAAAACTTCAAGAATTGATTTTGTCATCAATAGTCCTATGATGCTCAGGTTAATAATGAGGCCTCCAGTCAAATGTTATCTCCCCTGTGCAAATGAAAAACTACATTGCAATTGGGTTTGAATCCAATGGATTAAATTAATTTGAGTGCTTAAATTGGCACTGCTAATCGACAGATAATAATGATACATTATAAAATACTGTTTGTAGGAAGATAATGATGCTAATAATAAAGACATTTGTATTATTATTAAAGATATGTTAACATCAAGGTACTCATTATCTAAGATAAAATGCCCACTGAGTATTCTTACGTTTCCTTTAATACATGGATTTTTACAAGCAATTGTACTATAAATTTATTCCTTTACAACTGAGGGATGCTCATCAGCATAAATAAAGTAAACATGGTTATATCCTTTCCCCAATCTAATTTAGGCAATGTTTAGGAATCCCCTATTAATTTCTGCTATCCCAGTGGATATACAGAATATGTGACGAGATGTTTATCATTTGTAGCAAATATTAAGATATTTTAAATGGGTAACATGGATGATTTACATAGTGATAACCATAAATCATAATAAAATGTATATGACTGCTTTATGCATCTCAAAATTCCAGTGAGAAAGATTAATTCCTAAAGACAGAATCAACAGTATTGATTCATTCATTCATCCAGCAAATATTTGTTGAACACCTATTATGTGTTAGCCTTGCATGAGCATACAGTGATACACAGACTTAAATATCTTCTTATATCTCATGGTCATATGTAAACCATATGGAAGTATCCCCCCAAATTATCTAACATTTATAATTTCCTTTATCCATAATAAAATAGCTTGGATAAACACATGCACATCACTCAATAATCTTTTTGCAATTGTAAAGCACAATTCTATATATTAGGGAATATTGTATCTTTGATTCAGCATCAACTGATGTGTTGCATCATATTATAAGGAATATGTGGAGAAGCAAAAGTATGATACTTCCTATTAAGTGTACTACACAAAAAGCCAGGGTAAATAAATAATAGTAGTGTTAAAAAACACATTGAAAATTTATGTAACTTCATGCATACATATAAGCATATTTGACAATGTCTACTGTTCTTTTAGATATATCATACAAATACAAGAATTG